TGTTTCCTTCTGAGGAGACTTATGTAGTGCTTAATTTAATTTCTGCAGCCATAGAATGAAATGGGTACAACCCACATTAATAACCTTACCTGACTTTGTATTGAGGTTCAGTAGTGCTGAACCTCTCCTGCAGAAAAAATCTGGGCAAGATGACCAAGGCTGGGCTGCTTCTCTGACATGGTAGCAAATCTGACTAAACGTCCAATTGTTAGGAAAAAAGACTGAAAATCTGCTGTGGAGGCTGCAAGGAGCCATTGCATGGAGCCGTGTCACTATTGGACACAAAATGGGTACACAGAAGCTTGGTGAGTTCAAGAGAGAAAAAGAGCAAATTTTATTTCTGACCTCACAATATATAGAATTCCAAAAGTGACAGTGGATTGGAGGATGAAATTGCCACCTCTCCAACCACACTGGTCAAACCAACAGTCCATCAATTCTCTCCTCCCACAAAGAAGAATGCAAAACAATTATTATTTACATGAACAGTGTGTGAGAACTCCAGTAGAAATATGTAAACATTATCAAAAGGCTAAAGAAGTTCTATGAGACCTTTAAAACTTTCAAAAGAACTATAAAAGAAAAACACTTTTAAAAATCAGGGCAACAAAGCAGCAGCTTGGAGGATGCTGCTATGACTGCCCTGCTGGCAAATTTTGGGTCTGGCTGCTCAGTGGGGAGCTCTGGGCAAGTCACCTCACCGTGGAGTAAAGTGTGAGTTGTGAGCAGCAGCATTTTGAGGAAGGAACAGGGTCTTTGTGTGTGCAGAGTGTGAACTGCTAGGGGACCTTGGTCTCTTCCCATCCTCTGTGTGCTACTGTAATGTAAATAAAAATGTGCAGATAACAGCGAGGTCAAGGAACATCTCTCAAAGTCGATAATTTTCCCTGATGGGAAGATTTATGTGGCTGTTTCTTTGCCGAGCTGGAATTCTGCCAGATTTTGATCAATGGCCAAGTAACCACGCAGAAATACTATACCAAGGGGAGGGGAGAAAAGCCAAGGAGTTGTTGGCCTGCCAGGCTGACATAAAGCTTGCTGTAAGTTTGCAATCAAAACAAACCCTATCGGGTCCTGCACGGGAGCAGAGCATCCGTTAAATGTTGGGCGCTGCCAGGGGAAGTGGCAGAGCCGTTGGCTGGAGCAGCAGGAGAGTTGGCACACTGCACACTTCATGGGGCTTCAGAGCTGCTTTTAAAATAGTCCCCACCACTGCAGACAGGAAAGTGGTATCCTGCTAGTGCAGGGAATTATTTACATGTATTCTCCATGCCAACTGTCTCTCCGCTGACTGACCCTGTGTGAGAGACTCGATGGAAGAAAGGTTTTTTATAAAGAAAAAAAATCTGTCCAATCTAGCTGGGTTTTTTGATGAGTGGTTTGCCACACTGAGGTTGTAACTTAGCAAAAAAAAAAAGACTTAAACTCCAGGACTTAAAACCTCCTCTCTTTGAGGTTTTGGGTTTTGTTTTTAATTACTATCTCAGATTGAATAAGAAGGACAAGCAGTGTTCACTCTTTGTGTATGACAGCACTTTAGGGTGTATTTTAAACTTGTAATAGCAAAACAACTTGTGCAGACAGAGAAATCAAGAACAGCTCCTGCTACTTGAACATAATAGGCCTGAGAAACAGGATAAGTAGAGATTTAAAAATTAAAATTTAAGAAGTTATTACTGCAGGGCTCAAAGAAGTCTCACCTTAGCCCCTCACTGGAAGGTGCACATGGTGTCTTGTTTTGGCACTCTTCGCTGCAGGCTTGTACAGTACCTTGTACAGTGATGTCCTGAGTCTCTGTCCCTAATAGTTAAATATTTATTGATACCAGTGCAGTTTCTGAGGGTGCTGGAGTGCTTGGACAAGAACTGTATAGTTCAATTCTACCTGTAGTTATGGGACAATTTGTAGAAGCTTGCCTAATTTTTGTCTGTGGGTCTACTAAAGTGTCCTCTTGGGTGATTTGTGTGGTAATTTGGGATGTCAGATGGTCAGGGCTCTCAGTTCCCTCACTTTATAAATTATGTTTCACATGGACTAGATTTCTCAGGCATTAATATATCTTTTAATTCAAAGTCATTGCCTTTTGGATATTTTCAAAGCATTTTTACCTAATCTTCCAGATTCCTCATAGTCCTGCTTTTTACATTCTTAAAAAATGATACCATTTTGAGTTTTTAAAGGTAAAGGAATGGCTGTAGAAGCAAATTCTTAGTTTTAAAAATTACAAAATGATCTAGTATCAAAGCAGCTTCTCCAGCAAATGGTGAGGAAGCTGCTGGACCAAGGGTTAAAGGTGCAGTGAGGCACATTAAAGCTTTATTTATGGCAGGACAGTACTTCCAGTGCTGCCAGCTAGTCCAGGTAGCTATTTCTGTCTTCTGCAGGATCCAGCAGTTCAATGCCAGTGCTGCTGGGAGGTTTGGAGCCACTTTTGGGTGTAAAAACCAGTGTGTTGGAGCATGGAAGTTAAGGAGGAGCAGGGAACTGACCAAGTTGGCTGTCATGGTTCTGCCCTCCTTGTTTTGGTAATGTTCTTCATTAAAATCCTTTCTGTGTTGTGTCACTGATGACTGTTCCATCCTTTTGTGTGGCTGTACAAGCCTTGTTTAAGCTTGAGGATCAGAATGGCCCTGTGGAGAGGCAGTGCCTGTCCCAGAGAGTTTTCTCTGCTGGGTGGGGACAGAAAGGAGCTGCCCCTATCTCCATGGCACAGATGAGGAGCTGTGGGGTGAAGATACTGAAAGCCTTGGCTAAGGTCAGGGGGAAGAAGTCTGAGAGAGATAGGAGCTGTGGATCTATGGTTTGTTGAATTACAGTTTGGGGATTTAATACAAATTAATTAAAAATCCTTATCAACTTGGAGTTTGGGAGATAGGACATACAAAAATTGAAATGAAAAGAGAATCATATTTAGCCTTAGGTTATTTAAAGGGAAGACTTAAGTTACACTGCGTCGTTTCAAACTTGTGACCCAAATGCTCTCTTAGCAGTAGGAATTGCTCTCTGTGGGTGTTTTATTTCCCCTCAATCCTTGCACTGGATTCAGTTTGTTAATCAAGAAGACAGCAAACAAAATGCTTCAGTGGTGGTCACCAGGGGCCTGCAGCCAGCCTTGCATTCTCTGGGATGATGGATGGTGCTCAGAAACCTGAATCCATGCAGAGAGCTCCCCAGAAGGAGACTGAGTAAAACTTCCTAATTATCTTTTTTTTTGTTGTTTTTAATTCTTTGTCTATTTACCCCCCTTGATCTGAAGATTGAATTTTGCAATATTTCTGCTGCTGCTTTGACTTGATGGAACACTGGGAGAAAATCCTTCCCCAGTTTCTTCCAAATCTGAAATCCCAAGGAAGATTCTAGTTAGGAAATTCATTGTCCAGGAGATGCCAGCATCCCTTTTGATTGCTTGGTGATCACCCTGCCTGTCACCAGCAGCAGGAGCACATGAGAAACCAGTCCTTTTGGAACTAAGCTGGGCTCCTGAGTTATCAAAAAGCAGGGACCAGAAGCCTGATTCTGGAGCTATACTTAAATCCATGGCACAAAAGAGTCCTACTGGCATTTTTCTCCATCCTTGGAATATAGTGGGTGTTGTGAACAAATGGTGGCAGCATCAGAGCTGGACTTGTCTGTTTCCTGCACAAATAACCACATGTATTCACACAGGGGTTTGGTTTAGGTTTTTCGCAGTTCCCTCCCTCTCTGCTGCAGATCTGTTTGTTTGTACACAGCTATTTTGGTAAAATTTCCCCAAGTTAGGTATGTGTTTACTTTTTGCCTTCATCTAATCAGCAGCTCACAGGGTAAGTTGATGTTCTATATTTAGTCCAGATATTCAGTAGAGATGATTAGGGCTGTATTAAAGCAGAGGTTTTTGGGTTTTTACTGGGATGTCTCCCTGCTTCTTCCTTCCCGGGTTGCTGCAGCTTCTGTCCCTGCTCATGTTTCTCTGCTCAACCAAGAAGTGTATGTCAGAGTATTTGTATGGCTTTCTAAACATATTTGAAATAATTTGCCTCAAGAAAGTGATTGTGGTCTGTTTGCCATGAGATGAGTAACTGCAGTCCTGATGTGAGGTGAAATATCTAATGTTTATGGAAGATGACATAGCAAAGCTGTTTACCATATGCTACACAAGGCACAGCGATACTGGGCTATTTTTACCTCTGCAGTTTGCAGAGAGAAAACCAGAATACAATAATGCAATTTATGTATTCTCCTCTATTTCAAATGTGTCTTTGAGAGAGAACATGACAGCACTGTCTGAGCCAGGTCACAGGATACATCAGTGTAACACCAGCTATTATTTCAGCCTGGATCTCTAAACTTTAATATAAAACTGGGGTCAAAACCAGTCAGGTGCATGCACTAAGAGGCATAATAAGACATTTATGAGATTGGAAGTGCAGATAACTTCAAGTTGAGCTGTTTCTGGTGACACCTTTCATTCTCAGCAGTTCACAGCATCTCACTCTGCCCCTTTTTTCATTTCCCTGGACTGAGGTTCTCTGGCAGCTGTCGTCTGCTCTTCATTACAGGATTTCAGACTACTCCTTGCACCGGAGCAGAGCCCTGTGAGCTGACTCAGTGCCAGCATGGGTCTAGAGACAATGCAGTTCAGTTGACATGGAGCTGGAAGCTATGGATTTAGCAGCTTGCATCAGTGCATTCATGGGAGCCTGCATTGCAGCCTAACTGTATTCCCTGAGCAGATTCTTAGGTTGCCCCGAGTGTTTCCTTGACATGAAGATGCTCTCTGAGCCAGCTAAAGCAAGAGCTAGTCCCATGAAGCTTGCTGTCTCTGCAGGCTTTGGATTTGGGAATAGCTGTTCCACTGTCTCTTGGATTTCGAACTGTTCCCATCTCCAAGATAAACTGTGTTCCAGGATCAAAGTCAGTGGGGAAAAGAGCCTAAGTTTAAATACTGTCCACAGAAGAAGTGTCTCAACCTGCCAGCTTCAAAAATCTGTATTTACACCCTGCCCCCTCTTTCTCTCTAGTTTGCTCTAGGTTGTATGGTTGCACCCTGGAAATGGGATGTCAGTCCCATTCAGGGAGCATAAAGGAAGAAAGAAAATCTCCCCGTTGCCGCCGCAGTGACAGCGAGTGAGAGCCCGAGCAGGAAGATGTCGACAGTCGCCTCAGCGATCCAGGCTCCTCAGGGCCCTGTGAATCCGCCGCCTCCAGAGGTGACAAATCCCAATAAACCCGGCAGGAAGACCAACCAGCTGCAATATATGCAAAATGTTGTGGTGAAGACCTTATGGAAGCATCAGTTTGCTTGGCCTTTCTACCAGCCTGTTGATGCAATTAAACTGAATTTGCCGGTACGTTTCTGTCATCTTCTCAGCCTAAAAAAGCTTTGTGTTGGTCGGGTCAGGTTTGGGATTGCTGAGAGGGGAAATATCAGTGCCTGGGATGGTGTTGGGTTCAGGTCAGGTTTGGGATTGCTGAGAGGGGAAATATCAGTGCCTGGGATGGTGTTGGGTTCAGCCAGTGCTTCATGTGCAGCACCAGAGGCTTTGGTGCTCTAATCCATAACAAGGAAATGACACTGCACAGCCCTGCAGCGTCCCCAGGCTAATCACAGCCTCTGCAGGTACTCCAGACCAGCCCAAAGAGGAACTGGGTTAACAGGTGGAAACCTTTTAAAGGCCAAAATGCTCTTAAAATTAGAGACTGAAACTTTGAGCACAGTTTTAGCTGGCCCTGATAAACTTCTGTAAGTGCCAGAGGCAGCCTTTTGAAAAAGGAGGCAGAAATGCTGATTCCCAGACTGGAGGTTGTGTTGTTTTGGAGTCAGATTCATAATAATGGTAAGACTAAAAACATGCAAATTAGAAAATAAATAAATATATATTTACATTTAACATTTCCACAAAACTTGAGGGGGTGTTTTTTAGGAGGGGGGATGAGGAGAAAATATTTACATTTACACTTTCCACAAAACTGGAGGGGGGATGAGGAGAAGGCAGGTATTAGAGGGAGATGTGAACAAAACTGAATCAGAAGATACATCATCTTCCATGTTTTTCCAACAGGATTATCACAAAATAATAAAAAACCCCATGGATATGGGGACAATCAAGAAGCGCCTGGAGCACAACTATTACTGGAGTGCCAGTGAATGTATGCAGGATTTCAACACCATGTTTACAAACTGTTACATTTATAACAAGGTAAAAAAACCTACAAAAGCCTTTAGAAAACACCCACCTACCCCTGTAACTGTGCAGGTCTTGAACAGGGCCAGCTCTGGGCCCTCCTTGCAAGGATTTGAAATGCCACTAATTGCAACCACGTTACTTGAAATGCACAAAGCTGTCTTTGTGCTGCCTCTTTCTTCCCCCAGACTAGTTACAATGGCAAATATGCCTTTTAATTATAGGTAGATTTCTGTTTTGGGGTTATGCAGCAAGTTTTTACTCCCTTTATTTTCAGTTAGGAGTTTTCTGGGATGAGCTGCACTTAGTGCAGTGCTCTGCAGGTGTTTTGAGGTGCTTTAATGCTGTGTTTTAGACTGTCTGACACTAAATAGTATCTGTGAGCAGCAGAAAGGAGTTCAAGAATCATAACTCTGTTCTTTGATTCTGTCTCCATAAAAATGTTCATACTTACACACATTTAGATTGCTTATTACTATTGTTAGTTGGGTTTGGCTTGTTTGCTGTTTTGTTAGGTTGCTAAAATTCTTTGTGTTCTGTTTTCTCCAGTCATTTGTCATCATAGACCCAGACTGGACAACAGCTGAACTAAACCAATTAATTAGTTTGAGCCACAGAATGTGTGTTTAGCCTCTTCCCTTGGACCTGCTGGCAAGCAGGGAAGGACAGCTCATTCCTTCCAGTTTGCTGCTTCCACACTGCTGCACTGGATACTGGTTTATCAGGCTCCTTCTGAGCTCCTGATAATTCTCTGGATGCAGCACACTTAGGCACTGTAATTATTGCATGCTAGAGCAGAATAGAAGAGCAGGAGAGTGGCAAGCAAGGAGGGAGAAGAGCTAATCTGTGTATTGTCAGCATTTGAATACCATAATTTATTTGAAGGGCCTCAGTGTTTTCTAAGCTCACTGCTTCAGATATGTGGCTATACAACAAAGGCTCATATTCTTCTTTGTGCAGCCCACAGATGACATTGTCCTCATGGCCCAAGCCCTGGAGAAGATATTCCTGCAGAAGGTTGCCCAGATGCCACAGGAAGAGGTGGAATTGCTACCCCCAGTTCCTAAAGGCAAAGGTCGCAAGCCCTCAGCGGGCACACAGAGCACAGGTACGGATCCATGGATCCATGCAGGCACAGGGAATGTTGGGAGCTGTTCCCAAGGCCTGAGCCCCCCTTCCAAACTGCTGGACTTTGCAGATGGTGAAGAGGCTGGGAAGGGAGAGCGGGGTCTCACAGTTAAAGCAGTGGGGAGGAAGGTGTGAGATGTCTGGGAGATGCTCACTCGGGGTTTCAGGGCTCGTCTGTCTCAAGGCCACCCTGCATTTGTCACACCAGTCTTGCCATCTCTGATTTGCCCATCCAGGCAGCACTTCAGTGCTGTAGCTTCTCTGTGCAAAGAAGAAACCAAGGCAAGAAAAACCAAAGTAGTCAGAAATGCCAGTCTGCTGCCAGTGCCAGAGTGTGGCATGGAAAGTCTTTACTGATTTGGGTTTACACAGCTCACCCTGGGTCTTGGCAGAAATCTGGCACAGCAGAGACTTGGACTCAAATGTTGCTAATTTACTAAACCCTGTATATTTTTCTTTTGCACACATGGTTACATCATCATAAAATTAAAGGATTTATTAAGCCATTGCAAAAGGCTACGTACACCATTGCATATCAGTGGAAGCTAAGTTTAGCTCAGCTTACCTAGAATTGATTTTAAATGGATTTAGGACTAAACTGTCCAAGCATGGTAAAACAGTTCATAAAGGACCTTGTGTGGCTGAGTTAAATGATGGCAGTTTTGGTTTTTTTTTTTTCCGTCTAAACAAGGTCTAATTGTTGCTCTGGGAAAGTCAATTGTTCTTCTGTTTTCCCACATTTCAGGTGCTAAATGGAGCTATAAATCTATCCAAGCTCAGAGAAATTAATGATGATGTATCTTTTCAACATCCTTTGATAACACATAGGAGGATTGTTGCTTTGGTTATTTAGTAGGTTTGTCCCCTTTAATTTACATCAGTAGTCAGGTTTTTAGCAGTGTAGGTGTAGCATCAGAGACATCGAGGCCATCAGGAGACTTAAACTCTACTGAGAATCATAAAATACGGAGTTGCAAGGGACCCACGGGAATCACTGAGCCCAGGTGCTGTCCCTGCACAGGACAACCCCTGTGGCAGATCTGGAGTGCTTTGGACTCCTGGGTGCTTAGGGCAGTGGTTGTTGCCATTTGCTTGGTGTGGACACCTCCACTGTTCCATCTCCTGCTCTTCTGCCGGGGTGAAGGCTGTCCCAGAGCAACACACACTCCATATGAAAAGCTGCAATTATTTTGCGTGTGGCTGACCTAAACCCGTGGTACAAGGATTTAGCTCACAGATTCCTCACTTTTTTTTTCAACCCTGGGTATAACAACCCCGAGCAAACCACACTGTGCCCTTTGTGCTCTCCATGGGATCCCTTTGCCAAGTCCAGTTTGCTCCTGGTACCCTCCCAGCTGTAACACCACCGCCTTTCCCCTCTCTCGTTTCCAAGGAGCGCAGCAAGCCGTGGCCGTGTCTTCCGTGTCCCCGCCGGCCCCGTTCCAGAACGTCCCTCCAGCCGTGTCTCAGACGCCCGTCATCGCTGCCACCCCCGTGCCAACCATCACCGCCAACGTCCCGCCTGTCGCCGCCCCTGCCGCCGCCGCCCCGCCGCCGCCCGCCGCTCCGATCATGCCCGTGGTGCCCCCCACGCCCCCGGTGGTCAAGGTAAATGTGGGGCAGCTCCTCTGCAGGAGGCAGGCTGCGCTGCCAGCCCTTGCTGCTGCATCCCTGCGGTCCTGTTGCATCCCTGCGGTCCTGCTGCATCCCTGCGGTCCTGCTTTCGTCGCAGGGTGTCGAGCTGGAGAGGGTTGAGAACGGTTTTTACACGGTCCAGCTGAGGTGATGCCACCTGTGCTCGCTCCAGCTCAGTTCCAGCCTCTCCTGTCACAGCCTTCCCCTGTGCTGCTGCTCCAGGGCTTTTGGAACTCTCCCCGTTTTACACCAAATAGCTCAAAGCATCTCTTCCCTCTCTGACTGAGCTCCTGATTTTACTGGAGCTGTTCCTTTAAGGTTTGTAACCCAAAGCATCTCTTCCCTCTCTTACTGAGCTCCTGATTTTACTGGAGTTGTTCCGTTAAGGTTTGTAACCCAAAACATCTCTTCCCTCTGTATCTGAGCTCCTGATTTTACTGGAGCTGTTCCTTTAAGGTTTGTAACCCAAAGTATCTCTTCCCTCTGTATCTGAGCTCCTGATTTTACTGGAGTTGTTCCTTTAAGGTTTGTAACCCAATCTCTTTCCTCTGAAACGGAGCTCCTGATTTTATTGTTCCTTTAAGGTTTGTAACCCAAAACATCTCTTCCCTCTGTATCTGAGCTCCTGATTTTACTGGAGCTGTTCCTTTAAGGTTTGTAACCCAAAGCATCTTTTCCCTTTGTATATGAGCTCCTGATTTTACTGGGGCTGTTCCTTTAAGGTTTGTAACCCAAAACATCTCTTCCCTCTCTGACTGAGCTCCTGATTTTACTGGGGCTGTTCCTTTAAGGGTTGCAGGCTCCAGCATTAGGAATGTTCCTTTCTGCTTTCAGCCAGTTCAAGACAAGCCTGTCACTCCAGTTGGAGGAGACTGATGTTGCCTGCAGGTTTGGGTGCATTAGTTCTGTCTTCCTTACTGAGTAATCTTTTGGGAGTTGTCACTGGTGTTTTGCTATTTATTATGTTAATTTATGGGTAAATGAAGACATTACCTAAATAACTGAAATTTTCTTAGCAAGCTGTGAATTGCTTTAAAAATGATGAAAGCATAGCTCAGAGAAAGCTGGGGGTCTTTTTATTTAAACCGTGGAATTAACTGCAACAGCTTGGACCAGCAGAGGCACAGAATTGTTTTGCTTTTTAACCCAATAGTTGGGGAATTACTAGAGAAATTGTAAGTCAAATCTTGCAGCTAAGCTGTCCTTCTTGGAAACCTGTCTTGCATTTCAGTTTCTGTCCAAATAACTTGCTTCTGAGAATCAATTTCATTTTAAAACTGAAGGATGAACCCAGAAGTGAGTGTGCCGAATACACACTGCAAAATTAATTCTGCTTGGGATTTACTTAAGATTTCCCTTAGATTTCTCTGAGGAACTTCTTCCTCCCTATCTCCCTCTCCAGAGAAATAAATCCTTGATAGTAGCATGAGAGAGCTGACTGGACAGTCCCAGCTTGAATTATGTGAGAGGGTTTGTTTGCTTAAGGCAAAATCTACCTTAGCATACCCACTAAATACAGGGGAGTGAGGGCTCATGGGTTTTTGGTGATCAATATGCTTTGGTTCAGAGCTTATAGCCTGATCCTGCCACTGGGGACTCAGACATGAGGTTAAGTTACTGCCACTTGCTCAGTCCTGATACATCAGCTGAGCTGCAGTAATCGACTGGGCAAACACCAGGTAAAGAGTCCTGGCTTCCATCTCAGGGAAATAACACATTTTACAGCCATGGTTGGGCTTGGGTTGGTTACTGTGGCTCAGGTGATGTGCAGTGTTGGAGCCTCTAGTCACAAATCCCACTCTCCCCAGTGAAATAACTGGTTTTTTTCTGTCAGAGGACAGGCAAAACTAAGGCTGAGCTGTGCTGGGGTTTGTGCTGGGCACGCACTCATGGAGCCTGTCCCTGTGCTGTTTCAGAAAAAGGGAGTGAAGCGGAAAGCTGACACCACCACCCCCACCACGTCTGCCATCACTGCCAGCAGGAGCGAGTCCCCCACGCCGCTCTCGGACCCCAAACAGGCCAAAATCATCGCGCGCAGGGAGAGCGGCGGCCGCCCCATCAAACCACCAAAGAAAGACCTGGAGGATGGAGAGGTCCCTCAGCACGCAGGGAAGAAGGGCAAACTCTCTGAGCACCTCAAGTACTGTGACAGCATCCTCAAGGAGATGCTCTCCAAGAAGCACGCAGCCTATGCATGGCCCTTTTACAAGCCCGTGGATGCAGAGGCCTTGGAATTACATGACTATCACGATATTATCAAACACCCCATGGATCTCAGTACTGTGAAAGTACGTCTTCATTTACCACCTCTTTTTGCAGGGGGTCCCGCTGGTTCCAGAGGACTGGCTCCTTTGTGGGAGGGAGAAGGGGAATGGGTGGAAACTGAACCTCTTTGGATACCAGCTGGGTATTTTTATATTTTGTTTCCTTCCCTTCTCCCTTTTTTTTTACCCTAACCTGGGACAGATTTTTTTTTTCCTGCCCTGCAAAGCAGATGATGTACACAAAGCAAAGTACAATGGCATCCTCTCCTATTTGTGGCTAGTCCAGGTATTTAACTGGTGTTCTTAGGATTGTGTTGCACTCTGAGAAGGGGAGGTGCTTTATTTCATAGGATTCAATTGATGGTATCCCATTTCCAGAAGCTGCTGCTTGCCTACTTGGTGGTGGCAGATAGACTTACACTGAGCAATTCCAACTGGAATGTGATGGTACTCAGGGAGATAAGTGCTGGTTTTGTGGTTCATGCTTGGCTCCTCAAGAGTTTAGCTTTGCACTAGGTCCAATATTCTTGCTTTTCCCATTAGCTTTGGAGGTTTGCTGCATCCTTCCATGTAGCAAAGCCCTGGCAGCTGAACCAGTGCCTGGGATTGTCTGAATGCCCAGGTGACAGAAGGGCAGCTGTGGTTGTGATTCCTGTCATAGTCCTTGGCAGATGCTGTGTGGTACCTGGGAGCAGCATGTCACACTCTGATGTGCCATGCATCAGTCCTAGGGGTGCTCTGGGTCTCCAGACATACCTGCAGCCTGCTAGTTAAGCCCCAAGTGATTGCAGGAAGATTAGAGATGGGCCGAGTGAGATCCTGACCCTTTCAGGCTGGTATTTCCATGTGTGCTTAGGTGATTTCTTATCGCAAAAGATCCTTTTGCTGTGTTCTGAAAAAATCTAGGTGCAAAGTTGTGATTTCTTGAGTTGATTTCTTCGTGCTTAAATCTCTTTAAGGTCCTGACTTCATTCTTTTAAAATTGTACACCTCTGCCCCTTCCTGGCAAGTGCAGGTGATCTGCTCCCTCTGCACCTGACTAGTGTAGAGAATTGGAGACAGGCTGATGGCAAACCCAGTGGAGTCTTTTACACCTAAAGACTCTGGGTTTCTCATTCTGCGTGGTAGTATTTTTCTTAATTAAGTTGTTTGAAGTGCTGTCTGGTATTGGTTTTTTATGGAGTGTTTTATTGTCATTGCTCTTGGCCTGCAGATCGTGGTGTGATTTCTCAGAGATGCAGCTCATAACGTGTTCATTGCCTGGAACAGAAACCTGCCATTTGCAGGCAGTGTCATTTTCCAGTGTCAGGGACTTCCACTGTGGCTCTGAAAGGTTTTTAGATTTAATTCTGCCCAAGTGACAATGGCTGTGATAAAGCAGCACAACTAAGAGCCTCCAAACTAACCTGGGAGGAATTATGTGAGACAGTAAAACACAGGTATTGCTGCAGCTGTAACACATCTTGTCTCTTGACTTTTGTGGCTGTGTTAGGTTTGATTTTCCCCAGAGAATATCCTGCATGTCCAGGAGCATTTTCTTCCCTGGCAGAGGTGTCTCCAGGAGGATTTGGAGGTTGTTTTCTCTGGGTGTGGTGGAGGAGGCAGTTTGGTGACTGTGCCAGGGGCAGGTGAGATGGAGGGGCTGTAGCTGAGCTTGCTGCAGCCAGGAGCAGAGAGATGTGCTGGAATTTTGTGCTGGAGCTCAGACTGAGAATGGGAGCAGCTGAAGGGACAGGATCTGTGAGCTCATTTCCATCTCAGTTCTCTTTATCAGAGAAGGAAAGGGCAGAACTGCTTGGAGTAGGAAAAGATGGAAATGTGAGGAGAGAGAGGCAGCAGCTTTGACTTTTGGAATAAAGCACTTCCTCCAGGGATGTAACTCTGCTCACCCCTTGATTTTCCTGCAGTGAACTGCTGTAGTTTCAGAGCAGCTGAGGGTGTCAAAAGTGAGGAGACATTCTCTGTGTCCTCTGTGGGCAGGACAAGACTAACCTTAGAGCAGGGGACACATTAGACATGAGGCAAAAAATTTATGAACAGTAAAGATGATTTAAATGATTGAGGGGGAAAATTGTGATTGCTTGTGGGATAGAGGATGGGTGAGCTGCCCTGTCTGGCTCCTGATTTCCACTTGTAAATGTAATCACTTTTTTTTTGGTAAGCAGCTGGATATCTCCAAGTGTATTTATAACAAGATGTTCCAGCCCACTGATTTAAAGTGCTTTTCTTTCTTTTGTTAAGCTAATTATTCTTCATAAGAAAACAAAACAAAAATCCACAGATTAAAAACTGTAGGGCTAGAAAACTGTTGAGTTTGGATGAAAAGCAAAGCCTCAGACACTGGAATGTATTTCATAGGCAATAATCAGGCTCTTAGTATGCCAAACAAATATAAAAAGGCCTTTCATGCAGTAAGATGTATTTTAAAATAAATGGGCCCTTTGGTTTGAACATATGTTTTGCTTTGGAATTGGCCTGAGAGGCTTTTCAGACAGGAGCACCACAAACCCATTTCCCTTTCTGCTTTTGTGCTGTGCCTTCCAGGCTGTCTCCTGGTTTATTCACCAGGAAAATGAGGTCTCCTGACAAAAGTTTGACAGATGTCTGGCTGCAGAAGAGCAGGGAGCAAGGCTGCAGGGATGTCTCCACCCTGCATCAGGTCCCTCAGAAGCTGAATCCCTGGAGGTGAAATTCTGCCCTTTTCACAACAAAAACAGCTCCACGAGTCATTGCAGTGTTTCAAGACAGTTAGAAGGTCTATCACGGCTGTGAAATTTCTGTAGATCTGTGAAAAATGAGCATTTTGCTTGTGTTAGGGGTGGGTGACAGACCCTGAGCACCCCTGATTGCTGTTGGGGTGGGGGATGTCTGTCCCCATCACGTCCCCAGCCTGTTTGCCACTGAACCCTTCCCTTCTCTGGGCACACAGGTGCCCAAGACACACAAAAGGGAAGCCTGTAAGCACTTGGCAAATGGAGAATTTATTTAAAACCAGCTCTTTTAAATGCAAATGAAACTTAGTGTTAGCTTCTGGTTCCTTTCAGCAGGAGTAATTGGAGCTAAGGTTTTATACATAGTAGTAATATATGCATAAAATCAATTAAGTGCTAGGAGTGCTATAAACTGCTCTCTAAACCCAAATCATTGAGTCCCAAACAGCAAGAGAAATGGCTGGAAATGAGAGCTGAAAAATAAGGGAAAGGAACCAGGTACAAATATTTGACATTTATCCTCACTATTCTAGGAAACAACACTATGAGTAAGTTCTTAAAGGGTGAAGCCTGTATCCATTTCTATCAGTTGGGCTTTTAAATTAAGAGTGGGAGTTGTAGTTTAACTGTAAATGCCTATTTTGCTGTAGGAATTGCAGAGGAAACCTCCTGCCCTCTGTTAGCAGGAAGTCAGAGTTAGATTTTTGTGATCTTTTCTGCCCTTTCAGATTTACAAGGCAAATATATCCAAGCATATGTTGAAATACACACTTCAGGTACTCCTGTAATTGTAACTTGCTTGTTGACTCTTGCCCTTTCCATCTATGATCCTTGTTTCTATCAGTTCCTGATCCATTTTTCTAAATTATTTTTCTACTAGTTTCTAAATGTTTTCTGGTAGAATGTGGACCCTGACAGATTTATAGTCTACTACTTAGAAAACAAGGCCAATTTAGACTCTTAGTGTTGGAACTTCTATGAGATATCAGCTTCTTTGGTTGCCTAGTGTTTTATAAAGCTGAAACTCTGAATGTAATTTAGGAACCCACAACCCAAATGCAACTTCTCTTCTCTTAGATGGGATTTTTGAGGCTCTTCTGAGGTTCATGTGTACTCCATGCAGTTGCTATAAATGCTTTTTACTTATGGCTTTTCTTTTTTTTTTTTTTTCTTTCCCTTTGGCTTGTTTATTTGCAGAAAAAGATGGACAGTCGGGAATACCAGGACGCACAAGGTTTTGCAGCAGATATTCGGTTAATGTTCTCGAATTGTTACAAGTACAATCCTCCAGACCACGAGGTGGTGGCCATGGCCAGGAAGCTCCAGGTAACGGTGTTGGCAAATGCATCTTCAGAGTGTTTTTAGTTCAGGTACAAAGTGAGATCCAGGTGTGGATCCAGGGAGATTTCTTCCAGCCTTGGAAAGAGCCTCGTGCTCTCTGCAGGACTGTTGTGCTCTTCACATGGCATGGGCCCAGTGACACATTCAGCTCCTAAAATATAATAATCCTTGGCTTTAAAGTGATTGGGTGATTTTCTTGGGATTTCCAGATGGACAGCCATATTCTGTATATTATTATTTACTTGTAGTGCACAAAGACCCTGCCCCTGATGTATTTTCGAGACCAGAGTGAGCTGTTTGTGGCCGAGGCTCCTTTGGTCACCACTTTTCCTCCTTTTTGCAGGATGTTTTTGAGATGAGGTTTGCAAAAATGCCCGATGAGCCTGCAGAGGCTCCCCCTCCACCTCCCCCAACAGCCCCAGTGGTGAGCAAAAGCACAGAGAGCAGCCACAGCAGCGAGGAGAGCTCCTCAGACTCCGACAGCTCCGACTCCGAGGAGGAGCGGGCGACTCGGCTGGCCGAGCTCCAGGAGCAGGTACTGCACCATCCCAGCTGTGTGTCTGTGCATTGGACAGAGCACAGCAGCAGGAATTGTCTCCTGAAAAATCCCACCTAGGCTGGCATGCAGGGAAACATTCCCACCCTTAGGGGAAACATTCACAGCCTTCTCAGCTGTGCAATCGGTGCGTGTTCGGTGTAATGGTAATTTTCCTCAAGATGGTTTTTCTCAGTGCTGATGCTCTGTCCTTCCTTCTGGGATCCCAGAGTATGAGCTGCTTGATTTTTGACTTTAGGATATGCTTACACCTTGGGCTGTAGAGGGAAGGGTTTGTGGAGGCAGCAGTTACCTTGCCTTGATGGTTTTTCTCCTGTTTCCCCCCAGCTGAAAGCCGTCCATGAGCAGCTGGCTGCACTGTCCCAAGCGCCAGTGAACAAACCAAAGAAAAAAAAAGAGAAGAAGGAGAAAGAGAAGAAAAAGAAAGATAAAGAGAAAGAAAAAGAAAAGCACAAAGTCAAAGCTGAGGAGGAGAAGAAACCCAAGGTGGCTCAACCACCAAAACAAACCCAACAGAAGAAAGCCCCAGCTAAGAAAGCAAACAGCACAACCACAGCTAACAGGTGAGAGCCAAGGTGCCTTGAGGGGAGAGCCAAGAGCTTCCAGCTCTGCCCTTAATTCCTGGGGAAGTTCAGTAGTTGTTAATTTGCTGCTGAATACTGTTCCCATTCCCAGACAACTCCAGGGAGTCTTTAACTTGGAGCTGGCAGTGGAACCACTGGACAGTGTTTTCACTGTCCAGCTCTTTGAATCCCTGCCTGATTGCTCTCAGATAAGGTTCTGGGGGTTGCCTTTTGTGCAGGCACCAAGAACGTGCCATTTCATGGCTGCTCCCCTGCTGCTCCTTGGGCTCATTGTCACACTTCACAGGGCTAAAATATAATAGGAACACAACAGCTGATCTCGGGCTGCTGAACTTTTTCAGCACTTGTGGTGCTGCTCCAGCCATCTGACGAGAGCTTCAAAGCCAAGAGCATGGGGATGTTTGTTACAAGGGAGTGGGGAGGAAAAAAAAAAAAAAAAGAATTCATTGCTGTGTCCCCATGAATGTTTTCATGCTTGACAACCTCCCCAGGCAGCCCAAGAAAGGAGGCAAACAGGCATCTGCAAGCTACGACTCGGATGAGGAGGAGGAAGGGCTGCCCATGACCTATGACGAGAAACGACAGCTCAGCCTGGACATCAACCGCCTGCCCGGGGAGAAGCTGGGCAGGGTGGTCCACATCATCCAGTCCCGGGAACCTTCCCTCAGAGACTCCAATCCCGACGAGATTGAAATAGATTTTGAAACCTTGAAGCCCACAACGTTACGAGAACTGGAGAGATACGTGAAATCTTGTTTACAGAAAAAACAAAGGAAACCATTTTGTAAGTTAACCTCCCAGGGAACGTGTTTCCCTCAGCAGCTCTTGGGCTCAGCTTTGGAGTCAGGGCATGTATATTGACATTCGCTTATGCACCTGTTGGGTATGTGGTGGCAGGAATTTTTAGAGGTTATTTTCTCCCAAGGAAATGTACAGAAACTTCCTGGTTTTCTCTGTTCTTTCTTCCTGTGGTGTCCTGCTGCAGAGACCTGGAGAGCCAATGTGTTCCTCTGCAAGACCTGTGGGATGCCTTTCTTGCTTACCCAGGCTCTGGAAGGCCCTGTAAAGGTTTCAGTCTCATTGTGTCAGGTGTTACGTGCACACGTCTGCAAGGATCAGTTTCTTATCCTGAATAGTTTAGCATCTAATTAGGAAGGAAACAAGAAACGTGGTTGGGATCCAAACCACCAAGGCAATAAATGATTTGCACAAGGTTACCTGTGGATTCTGGGCATGTCTTGAGTTGTATATTCACCCCAAAACTGCTTTTCCTGTGTGTCCTGTTCACCACATTGGTCTCACTCTCTGTCAGTTCAGAGCATGAATGTCAATCTGCTGCTGAGTGTGTGGTTCAGTGTGGGACAGACCTTGTGTCTCATCCACTAAGGGAATTCCTGTAGCCTCTGGAGAGTTTAGCTCCAGCTGGACAGCAGTAGGATCACTTACCTGATGTGCTCCTGACTCTCTTGGTGAAGGGAGTTCTGCTTTTAGGATTATGACACAAAAGCTACTCCTTGTTCTTGCAGAGCATCTCCATTCCTTCCTCAGGATTTTCAGGAAGGCCTAAGCAAAGCGCAGACTTTGACCTTTCTTTTTGCTTTATTTTTTTTTTTTTCCTGAATCCTTCACTGTTGGCCTAGCTCAGGAAAGGATTTTCCAGAGTTCTTAGGAACAGGAAGCATCCTTCAATTTTGGAACCAGAGTACAGAGTAACAGAGATACCCTCAGATATCCACCCTGTGAGCCTGGCATGCCTGAGCCTGGCTGGACTCCTGTGCTGAGTGTTCCTTCTTAGGACTGTGCTTTCCATTTTTCTTTTGTTGTTGTTTTTTTAAAACAGCTCATAGAAATGTAGGTATTTCCTTGCTGGATCAGGCAAAATATCTGGCTCCTGTCTTGTGCTTCCAATCCTGGCCAACACCTGTGTTCAATTACTCCTCCTTTGGAGGAATATTTCCTTTCCTTGGCAGTGTGAGTGTTGCTGCTCCTTCTCACCCTTTCCATCCTGTTGCAGTTCCATTCCTGTTGTCTGCCAGCCTTTGCCTCAGTTGGTTTTAATTTGTTTTTGTTTGTTTTGTTTTCTATTTAGAGCAACATAAACACCAGTAGATTCTTGCGTGAGGGGATCGGAAGTTTTAATGGCAGATGCTTTACTCCTGACAACCTTTAATGGGACACTTTATTTTACAGGGCAGAAAACCCATGTAACAATTCTGTAATTACAAATCTGTAATTATTGACCATATAACTGGCTGGTAAGTAACCTGTAATGACAAGGTTATTACATGGATATTTCTATCTTCTAAAATACTTTCCAGAAGATCTCTGTTAAAAAAAAATTGCATGTTACAGGATGGTGGTGATTTGATGAGCAAGGCAACTTCAGGTGTTGTCTTCTCTCTGGGATGTGTAGTTGCTGTGTGAGCACTGGATGTTGGCAGTGTCACTGCAGAGTGTGCACACAGATGTACATGCCCTGTAAAATAGTGATGTCCACTCTTTCCCCCTGCATCCCTGCACTTTCAGAAACTCTGTGTTCCTCCCCCACAGCTGCCAGTGGCAAAAAGCAAGCAGCAAAGTCAAAAGAAGAGTTAGCTCAGGAAAAGAAGAAAGAACTAGAAAAACGGTTACAGGACGTCAGTGGGCAGCTAAACAACAACAAGAAGCCTGCAAAGAAAGGTAATGGCTTTGTGTTTATGGGAAAACAGCCCCCTAAAAATGAACAGACTTTGGACGGGGTCAAAACCTCGGCCTTGGGTTTGTCTCTGTGACAGGAACCCTCAGGGAGTTCCCACTGAGCTGCTGTGTGGGGCTGCTTTGGTCCCTGGCCAGGTGGAAACTGCTGGGTGGTAAATAGGAGCTGTCTGGGAGGCAATTCCTCCTTCAGAGGGAGGAGGACCTTCCCTGTGTTAACCTGGTGTGCAGCCCACACCACAGAGCTTCTAACACATTTCTAAAAAAATCCCAAACCCCCACGTAGCTCAAGATGCTCCAAAAGGTTCCCCCAGTGCAAACAAAGCTTTCACCAGGGGGGTTTCCTGTGCTCAGAGGTGACACTGCCCCACAGCAGAGCTCCTCTGTGCATCCCAAACTTCCATGTCATGGTCTAGGGCAGATTTGGGAGAAAACTTTTGAAGGGGCTCTTCTAGAAAGTAAATTTAAGCAGATTATTTTGTAACTGGTTCAGGAAAATATTTCGTTAGAGAAAAGTTGAAAAAACCTGTTTATTTAATAGGCAAAGCATTTACTAGTACAAAGAACTAATATTATTAAACAATAAAGCTTTCTGCTGCTTTAAAAGTGATGATAAATTCAGAAAGTCTCTTTTGTGGGCTGTAATTTTACTTACTGAGTATCTTATCAGACTTTTTGGTGTTGGAAATGCTGCAGCTCAGGCTTGGCTTGGTGGGCTATCAAGCTGTGAGCTGTAGCTGCTCTTTTGGATGTTCAGTTTAGAATAGGTTTAAACAGGTCTAAAGAAAAAAAAAAACAACTCCAGTTCAGGGAACTCCTCTGCCTCAGCTAGCTAAAAACTAACTAAAAGCAAAGCTTTTTAAAAGCTCTGTCTTGCTGTCTGTCTGTCTGCAGACAGCAGAGTCCAGGAGCAGGAATGTGGAGGAGTGAGTGCAGTTTCTGAACTCCAACAAACTCCATGCTGCTTTTCTCTCCTCCTTCACCCTCAGAACTGTGGATATTCTCAGTTCAGTCAGAGAGAAAAAGAGAAAGATTTCTGCCAGGCTAAACCTGGGAAAAAGTCCGAGAGGAATGTAAACAATCTATTATCTTTTTTTTTTTGTTCATATTATTTATAGATATGTTCTACCACACTGACCACCAGTGGTCCAGTGGTCCAGTGCACCAATCAGGTGAAATATTTTTACTTTTAAGACCAATGGAATTAATGTTCAGGATTGTGGCAAGCACATTTCTCTCCCTCTCAGGATCTTTCATAGAGGTGCACAGAGAGAAATGAAAGAGAAAACAATTTCTATTTCTGCTCCTTGTTTTTCCTATATGGAATGTGTTTGGAGAATTGTTTACCTGGGGTGATTGCTGGGTTGGATTCTGGTGAGGATTGTTTGAGAGTGATGGCCAATCCAACCCACCTGGGGCTGGGCGCTCAGAGAGGGTCACCAGTTGTGTGAGAGTTAGAGAAAGTAGTATGTAGTTTTAGTATCCTCCTTTTATATAGTATATTAATGTATTTTAGCATAGTTATAATAAAGAAATCATTCAGCCTTCTGAATTGAGTCAGACATTGTCATTTCTTCCCATTGGGTTCTCTGCATTTACAATCCAGGATGTTCTCTATAAAAGAGAGAAGTGCTTTTGAATAAATGCTCATTTTGCCTTGTGAAATGGTGCGAGTCATTTCGCCCTTCCCTGGCTCAACAGCATCAAGAACTAACCTTAAAGGTGCAAAATTGATTATCCAACCTGAGCAGAGCAGCTGGGGGATAGCAGCATCACTCAGGGAGCGCTGGGCCAGGCTGGGCACCAGGGCTGTGTTGAGTAACCACATCCCTCCTTGTTCCCGCAGAGAAATCCGGCTCGGCTCCCTCCGGAGGCCCTTCCCGGCTCAGCAGCAGCTCCTCCTCCGAGTCGGGGAGCAGCAGCTCCAGCGGCTCCAGCTCGGACAGCAGCGACTCGGAATGAGCTCGGACACTGGGACACAACCCCCAAACGGACACCCCTGCTCTGCAGTGTCCCCTCCCCTCCTCCTCACCCCTGCTCTCACCTGGGCAGCTTTCATCCCCTCTCTCTTTTCTCTGACTTTTTATTTTATTTTTTAACTCAGTGTTACAAATTTCCTTTTTTTTTTTTTAATTTTTTTTTGGGGTGGGGGGAGTGGGCTCACTTTTAATAGGTCAAAGATCTTTGAGTGTGTGTGTGCGTGACTAGACTTTATGACAAATAGTTCCCTTTGCATAAAGTCTCTAAAATTTGCATTTATCCGGAGAAAATTGGTCGGAAATGGAAGAACTTCGAGCTCTTAGCAGGAGATAAATAGACAATTCTGCAAGGTTTGTAGTACATTTCCCTCCCAGCCCTTCCCTCTCCCCAGAATATTCTCTTTTAATAAGCCTGCCTGGCTCACACAAGGTAAAAACCATCTTTTTTTAAAGAAATCTCTGTAAAATGGTACTGTATCTGAAAGATGTTAGCTTTTGAACTAGTTGGTGTATTTGTTATTAGCACTAGTATTCTTAATCTCCAAGTTTACAGCGTGATGAAAATGTCAGATGCTATCATCTTTTTACATAAAAACAACAAAAAAAAAATTCAAAAAAAATTCTCATGTACTGTGGATTGCTAACATGCTTTTTTTTTTAATCTTGGTAGAGGCATAGGCACCTGTTCAGGAAGGTCTTGAAGCATGAATTTAACTTTTAAGCACACGAACAATAGAAATGGTTGCATTTCTTGGTTTTCCACTCAAAAGCTTCACTTTTCCTGGGGATTCATTGGGAAGAAGGGAGCAATGACACGCTCAAGCTTCTTGGGAATGCTATTTTTACCATTAAACAGATAATTTCCAGGAAATGGGATGCTCTCTATGAAAGTTTTCATGGAATTGACAGGAGTTTTTTTTGGCTGTCAGCTGGAGCTGGGAGTGATTCCTGCAGTGACCAGGAGAAGTCATGTGCTCATTACTGGGCTCATTTTGGGCATTTTCTCCATGACCAACACCTCAGGCTGGGCTTAAAATAAAGCAGCACTTGAGCTCCAGCTGAGGCTGAGCTGGCAGGGGAAGTGGAGAGGGATTTTGTGTGGGTTTGGGCTTTTTGCTTCTGAGTTTGCTTTGCTTTTCTTCCCTCTCCTCATCGTTCTCCTAGAGAGGGGATGCTCCTCCTGTGTCAGGCAGGGTTTCAAGTTCCAGGCACTGAAATGTTTTACCTCAATGAAAAGAAGAAAGAGAGGAGGGAGAAGAAAAAAAAAGCTAATTTTTTTAAAGCTTGCTGTTTTTTTCAGTCCAGCCTAATGTTTTGACCTGCACTGCTGCAATACACCCTGGTTTCAGGTTCCCTAATTTCATGTATATACCATGACTTTATTTATTAAACACCATTGGTTGTTTAAAATGTAATTAAACTTAACAAAAGCAAAGCTGGGGTTTTGCAGGCCAGCAGACAGGAAGACTTCTAATGAGGTTTTGAACCAGATTTAAAACAAACAAATGAAACAACAACAAAGCAAATAAAAACCCACAACTTTATTTATATACCTTGGACTTTCTACCTACAGGTGCTACAGTCCAGTCTCTTGTGTGTCTGCTGCTCTGTCATGTTTGGTGTGTTGTTTTTTAGATTTTTTTCTCTCCTCTTTTCACCCCAGCCCCCTTTTTTCCTGTTTTGTACAGATTTTGAAGACATACACTTCAATACAATTTTATTTTCTCAGTGGTCTTTTTTCCTCCCCTCATTTTTTGTTTTGGTAGAACAATGGGGGTTTTTATCCTTTTCTAATCCAATTTTAGGAAAACACCAATTCTATAATTATATCAAATTTGTAATCTGAGGGGCAGAAGTTTTATTGTAAAGAAAAAAAAAATATACAGAAAGTTGAACAGAAAGTTCTGCACTTCCAGCTGCAGCCCTGCTCAGTGCCAGGCACCACTGCCCATCAGCCAAGGGTCATTCGCTGGACACTTGGGCCTCTCAAAAATGTGCTGCTGACCAGAGATTCTTTCCCACAGCAATTGAAAAAAAAAAAAATTTTTTTATTTTTACTGAAATTCATTATTTTTCTTTTCCATTAACAATATAATTCAGTTTTGATTTTTTTAAACCTTCCCCCAGACAGATCCCTGGTAATATATTTTCAGAATTTACTATGAGGAAATGTAATATTCACCTAATTAAGAGCTTGGGTTTCTTTTTAACGGGGTTGGGTTTCACCTGTGTTTTCTCCTGTTGCCTGCGACTTGAATGATCAAAACCAAGGAATATTTTAAGGAATAATTGCAACCAATTCACTGCCATGGCTTTTGGATAAACAAACTCCCAGTTTTCCCTTCCTGGGACCTTTTCCTGCGTGCTTGACCCTGAGCTGTGGTGGTGGCTTCTGTGGGGAGGACAAAACGGAGGTGACAGCTTCACTGCCACAAAAAATAAAATGGGAATTTCATCTCTGGCACCATCCTCTGACATCAGGAACAGTCTCTGGAACACACAGACATCCCTGCAGGAGCCACAGGGCTGCCTCACCAGAATTAATTGGGAAAGCTGGAGCCAGAGGGTTGAGGAGCACGTGTGAGGTGATGGGAAAAGGCGTGACCCGAGGAGGATCCCTGTTGGAGCTGGAAAACCATCCCAGCCCGGGGATTTTCCAGGAAAACAACCTGCCAAGGCCACCACGGGATGGGAAGAATCTGCTGCACATCTTCGATCCACCAGCTGCAACTTGGGCTTCCACTTCTTGGGAAACTTTGCGTGGAAAGTGAGGCGTTCCCAAGGGAATGGAGCAAGGAGAAATCCATTGTGGCATGACTGAGGGAAGAATTTGGTGATTCCTCACTTCCAAATGCTGTCCTTACACTTTTCCATTTCCCAGCTTATTTGTTGTGCTCTTTATCCCCACCATGTCCATGGGGGTGCCTCTTGTACATCCTGAGTTTCTCCAGGAAAGAAAAGATGTTTCCAGTCCGGAGTAAGTAGCAGCAGTCCTAAATGAGTTGGGAACTGAAGCAACAGAGCATTTATTTAACTGAATTTTACTGCATGACACGTCAGTCCAGATGTCGCAAAATAACTTGGAAACGAACAAACACACAACGTTTGAAGAACATTTTTAAACTTAAGAATAAAAAACAAAAAAAAAAAAAGGAAAAAAAATTAAAGTTTTTATGGTAGAATTTTTCTTGAATTAACAAAGTTTAACTTTGTTTTCCAGGGGAAACTTCACTGAAATCAGTATGATTTCATATGTATGCATACACACAGAGTTTTATTGAAAACTGCTTTTTTCGGATGAATTCCTGTTTTGACAAAATATCTGACCAGACCTTTCTCAATCAACCAGCATTACTGCACCTTTTAAAAAACTTTGTGAACCTTTTTTCTGATTGTAAACTCAGCCTGTCTCGTGGGACCAGAGGGAGATCCCCATCCCAGCGACCGAAGGAATATCTCAGCTCTCTGCACGCCAAATGTGTCATCCACACAACAAAATCATTTCAATTTTTGTACTGATGTGGTTTGAACCTTGCCCACCCCCAGGGAGTGATGTTTCAGGGCTGTGTCACTGCTGGGAGGGTGGTGACCCCCAAACACACGCAAACATCGTTTCTGTTTTTGGGGAATCCACAGCTGAGTTCCCCCTGAGCTCTCTTCCCTCTTCTCTACGTGGTAGAAGCAGACTGCAATTATCTAATCTAGTTCTTTCTCTGCTTTGGGGACTCTTAGAGCAGTTTTAATTTTGAGTTTTTTTCCTTGTTTTGAAAGGAATGATGTTTTTTTAAAGCTGGGGTTGGAGCTGAGGGGAAGGGATCGGGACATGACAAAGACAAACCACAATGTTTTTAGTACTGGATTTTTAATTCTCAGTCTCTTCTTAACCCTGAGCAGTTACCACTATGGTTAACTGGTGGGCAGGCTCTGCATCAGTAAAGAGAAATTTAGGATTCCTTACACAGCAGCATTATCTTGCTTGAGCTGCATTTTGTAAAGAAAATGGTATTTGCATATCTTTTTAAAATGTCATTTTTAAAAAAATAAATTAAACCACCAGCTAGGATTTGACACAGGCCACTTAGAACACAGCCCTGATACTGGCATAACCAATCCAGAAAGATTTGTTGTTGTATTTTTTGTTTTGTTATTTTTGGGTTTTTTTAATATTTAAAAAAAAAAGAAGAAGAAATTGTTATTACTTTTCTGTATGATGTGCATGCAAATTTACCGTAACTCTTTTTCTTAAAACTTTTTAGTGCCATTTCTAGTATATTCCTGTAAATGTCAGTTATTGAAAAGAAATGAGTCAATGTAAGTAGTTTAGCTTGTTTATTGCAAATTGCTGGCCTCAAACAAAACAGAATTAAAAAAAAAAAAGAGTTAGAAAGTAATCTTTGATGTTACTGGTAATCACGGACCCTGATGCTGGGGCATTCGTTTTGTTTTCATAATAAAAAGAAAAATTGTTTGGTGTGTGCAGTTTGATCCCATATTTTCCCCTCTCCTCATCTTTTCCAGGTGTGGCACTCAAAGGTGGACTGAGCAGTGCCAGGAGCCAAACACCAGGAGATTGAATCCTGGTGCCACGAGGCCTGGAATAATTTGGAAGTTGTTTTGGGGAATGTCACACTCAAAGGGCCGACTGCCCTTCGAGTGGGGGCAGCTCTGGGGTGTCTGAACCACAGCTGAGAGCCTGGAATAAAACTACTTTAAATCCCCTTTTTTGGTGAGGGAAACTCAGCTGCTCTCATGTCCCAGGGCAGCCAAGGAAGGGCTTGAGCTCTTCCCAGCATCCTACAACTCTGCAGGGTGTTAAATTCAGTGAGAATTGCTCCTGACTGAGGTAAGTTGGGCTGAAAAGAGATGAGGTTTCACCCAGGTTTGCTGCTGGAGCTGCAGGAAGCAGAGGGACTTTGTGAGCTCAGGGTGACCTGGAAGGCTCCGCTTGGAAAGGGGGGCCTGGAGCAGCTGTGCCAGTGCCAGCAGAGTCCTGGCATTGCTGGCTGGGGCCAGGATCTATTTTGGTCATCAGGGAGGATTGGGGTTGGTTTTGCTCTTGCTTTTTGTGCGAGCTGGGCTGCCAGAGCCAGGGTTAATCTTTCTCTAACTCTGTTCATGCTCACTGCCTCTCCAAGGCTTCAGCAAAAAAACTCTTCTCTTGTACCAGTGACACTCCCGTGGGCTGATTGTCCCCTAAACAATCTCCTGTGAGGCGGGTGAGGAGGTTTCTGTAGCATTTGCAGGTGAGTTATTTCTAGGGGCAGCGAGCAGAGCTGTTTCTTCAGGCTGGGAGGAGGTTGAGGACATGATTGAGGTTCAACTCTCACTGTTTGTGCCTTGAATCCTGGGGCTGGGTCTGCCAGAGGGACATGGAGGGGCTGGAATGAGTCTGGAGAAGGGAACAGAGCTGGGGAAGGCTCTGGAGAGTGTCCTGAGAGGGTTCAGCCTGGAGGAAAAGGGGACTCAGGGAAGACCTTCCTCTGCAGCTGCCTAAACAGAGCTTGTGGAGTTTGGTCTCTCCCAGGACAGAAGGGAACAGCCTCAAGCTGCATCAGGGGAGGTTCAGGTTGGACAGCAGGAGCAGTTCCTTTGAGGAAAGGGTGCTCGGGCCTTGGCAGGGAGGTTTGGAGTGCCCATCCCTGGAGGTGCCCACAGAAGGGCTGGGGACAAGGTGGGCATCGGTCACAGGCTGGGTGTGACAATCTCTGATGTGTTTTCCATAATAATTCCCTCATTCAGTGTGACACCCAGAGCTTTCCTTGTCCTGGAAGTGCTGCTGGCCTTGGGGAGCTGGAGGAGCCTCCCCTGCAGTTCCCAGTCCAGTGCTGTGCTCTGGGAGCCCCACCAGTAACTGAGGGAATTCCCTCCCAAAAGGGGAATCCCAAAAGCTGTCTCCTGTGCCAGAGCCACGGAGATGCAGGGGAAAAACAGCCACTCACAAAGCTGCATTCAAATCATTTTAATGCACTTTATCAAAGAGGCTACAACAGTGTTTGAAACAAGTGCATCACAACCACACAGCTGGCTCACAGAACAGCCACAGCAGCCACTCCACAACCCTGCTGTGACCAGTGACACACAGAAATGGAAAACTACAGTCACATTCACAGAGATGGAAGGACAACTCATCCTCTTCTTCCTGCACTGTCACATCCAGCCTCCATCCTGGAAGAATTTATGCACATTCTTACGGGTTTAGTCTTGTATAGTCCAATTAACGCTCTGCAAAATAACTGAATTTTGGTTTACCAGCCACGTTAACAAAAAGAGACTGATTATACCCAAAATAAGCATCTTCCTTGCTGAAATTAAAAAGAAAATAAGTGTTGGATTTCTTTTTCTATAAGAAAAGAAAACGAACAGCTGGTTTGGGGGATGTGCTGTTCCTTAAACTCCCAGAGTTCACGTGCTCCCCAGAGCTGGTCTGGAACCCCCCCACTTCTCTCCCGCTTCTCCAGGTGAATCCACCTGCAGTTCCCAGGGGAGCCTGCTGCCTGTTTGAGTAAATAATCTCCTGCTCACTCAGGCAGGAGCTGGAGGCCCAGGTGGGTCACACATCCCTGGCACTGCTCCCCCGGCACCTCGCCGAGCCTCGCTGGGTTTGTGAATCTCACTGAACGCTTGCACTGGGTTCAAAACCATTTATTCACCGAGTTGTTTCTCCTCCAGAGCCAGTCCTGACAAAACCAAGAGGGTTATTTGTGTGCAGAGCAAAGCAGCGAGGTCCAGCAGCTTTAAATCTATGAGCACACACACAAGGTATCAAACACCAACACATGCAGGAATAGTGAATAGTGCTTTTAAAAAAACAACAAGCTGCCTATTGTTTGCAGGGCTGAGTACACCAAACCTCTATGATTTCACTCTAGAACAGGTGTGTTCTGCTCAGTACATTGAGTTCAGCAAGGTTGAGTGTCTGTGTGTTGTAGCATTTCACCCACACGGGAGAGGTGGAAGAGACTCTTCACTGTATTTAAAAAAAAAAAAATAAAATAAAGTGCTCGAAAAAATGCAAAGGAGGTGTTAGATAAATAGAACAGAAGTAATGACTGTGCCTAATAATAGGCAGGTAAATAATCCATCCTGAAGCTGATATCAAATGCTGATTTGCCTGGAGCTAAGCCAGTGCCCAGGCACTGCTGCCGTGCACACATGGCCTAGGCAGGACAGGAAGGGCAGAACCCTGAAGAAGAACTTTCATGCTGAACCCTGGGTACATAATTCCCACCCCTGGAAGTAGTAGTTTTGTTTCTAACAAAGATTCAGGTCCTTGCTGGGCTGAGTTTCTCAGCGTGAAAAGTCAGGATTCAGCAGAAACTTCAACCTGAAAGCAGCAGCCTCTGTGCCCAAGCAGGGCAATGCTTCTCCCTCCTAAAATCCTCCGGTTAATTGTAACAATCCCAGACACAACTTTTAAAGTACATGCACCAAACCTACAATCCAACCTGAACTAGAAGTTAAACCCTTCCAAGCTACTGCATGCGTTAAAACTTGAATGCAAAGCAAACTCCAGTGGCCTCTGTCCTTGTGCAGCCCATCTCAGGAGTGGCTCTGTGCTGTGCAGGAGCTTCAGCACGTGTGTGTATTTACAGGGGGCTCTTGCTGTTGCTTTCCTGGGCCTGTCCCTCCCTTTTGGGTGGTTCATGGGGGATCTGTTCCCGAAAGGAGTCAGCTCCCCTGACTCCAAAGCTCCTGTTATTTCCATGATCCCACACCGTGGGATCAGAGAAGGGCCTTGGCTTTGCATGAAACTCCAGCACACCTTCCCCTACCAGGTGTTTTGAAGGCTCGGATTAAATTCTCAACACATTCTCTCCCTGTTCCCACAACAAACCCACTCCATTCCCTGGCTGGAAGAGACCACTTCAGGGCAGGAATTAAAGACAGGGCAAACAGAACAAGTAATGGCCAGATGGTTTTGGAGATCAACTTCTTAAAGCCACAGCCTTGATGGGAACAGATCTGTGCTCGCCTCTGTCCCACCAGCATTCCCAGAGCTCTGGAAATGCACCAGGACTGGCCAGGAAGGGTGGCTGGGGACGTGCCCAGGTGCCAGCGGGTGTTTCTCAGGGCACACGAGCCTCTTAGAAGCAACACACGGTCCAGCACGGCCCCTGCCAAGATGCTGGGCAGCAGCAGGCTCGAGGGCTCCCCAGCCAGACTGGGTTTGCTGCACACACTGGCTGACATGCAGAATGGGAGTCTATAAACAGCAAAATCAAACAGAAACAATCCAACTTCAGCCTTCCTGCGGGGCTGTGAGAGGGTGGTGCACACCCGCCTCCCCCAGCTCCGCTTCCTCTCCACGTGTGGATTCCTACGGGGAATTACATAATAGCACAAAACTTGGACTGCCCCGTGTCCCTGGAGACATCCAGCTTGTTTTTGTCCCGCACCAGGATGGCCTCGTTGCCGTACTGCGAGTACCACATGCTCCTGCTGCGGCTCAGGTAGGTGTTGGGGGGAGCCGACTCCAGTTTCTGCTGCTGCTGCTGCCAGATGAGCAGGGAGGTGTCCCGGTACCTGAGGCGGGCGTAGCCCTCGGACAAAGCTTTCTCCGGCAGGGGCACCCTCCCGTTCATCACCGGCTCGCTCATCTGCCCCAGGACAGCCCCACCAGCGGGAGCTCCTTCCCAGCAGCTCCGCAATAATCCCCGCGGGCTCTGTCCAGGTCGGTGGCTGCTGCTTGGAGCTCAAGGGAGAACATCCCAGGGGATCCAGGAGCGGCTGGCACGGCTCAGGAGAGGGAGCAGGGCGCTAAAATCGCTGCAGGCAGCCCGGCCTTGCTTGGAAACCACGCCAGGACTTCTCCGAGAGCTCATCCAGCGGTGCTCCACGCCGGGAGGGGCCCGCGCGTGCTGTTTGCTGACGGTCCATGAAGCATCTCCATAGGTAGGACGGGCCGAGCGGGCCTGGATGGGCTGAATTCCCTGGAGAAGGGATCCCGAAGGCGTCGGAGGTCGGAGCGCAGAGGTCAGCGGTGGCCGGGCCTGAGCACGGCCTGTCCCCGAGGATGGACGGGCGCCTGACGTGCTCAGGGATGCAGGAGAAGATGCTGCTCGGCCCCGCCTGTGGTACCCGAGCTGGGCTGGGTGTTTTGGGGGGCCCGGCACCTCCGGACGGCACCTGCGGGACACAGCAGGGTCACCCCACTGCTGCCACCGGGGGTCCCCGCCCTGCCAGCCTCCAGCCCCCCTCTCCGTGCCCCCCCACCCCATCGCCCCCAGACCCTTCCAGCGGCACCCCCCGGTTCTCTCGCACTGCCCGCCCGGAGTTGGGGGTCCCACGCCGCCCCCCGAGGGTCCCACGCCGCCCCCCGGCCCCACCGTGCTGCGCTGCCCGGCCCGGCCCGGCCCGGCCCGGCTCGGCTCGGCCGCGGAGGCTCCGCCCGCCGTGATGCGCTCGGGAGGAGCCACGGCCGGAGCGGGGCGGGGACAGCGGGGACACGGCTGCGGTGGGGCCGGGGG